ACATTCGGCCTCAACAGATTCTTTGGACAGTTGGAGCGCAGACCCCTCCAATAATATACCAACAGTTTCCATGCTCAATATCCAACCGAGACAGGGACCTCATCAAGACCGATGGGTTTCCGATGGGACATGGTTTTGCCGAGACAACGAGGCACAACCACTGTACACGCATGTTAAAGAGTACCGATCCCCGTCCCTATGGCCCAACATGAGTTTAAGGTTTTCTCCATGAATGTTAAAGGTCTGAACAGCCCCCACAAACTAGCCTAGCGATCAGGGACATGCACAAATCTAAGGCGGCAGTGATATGCCTACAAGAAACCCACCTGTGCTCTCAAAAACCCCCTAAAATTCACACCAACCGCTACCCACAGGCCTTCCATGCATACTCCCCCAACAAAACTAAAGGGGTCTCCATACTGTTCCATGCAGATTGGGTATTTCAAATGAGCAGTTCCCACACAGACGTAGCAGGGCGTCTTTTAATATTAGTAGGAACCCTTAACGGCATTAGCCTAACCCTAGCAACGCTGTATGCCCCTAATGATGGCCAAACACACTTTCTACGTAGAGCACTTAAAAAACTAGAGAACATGAAACAGGGGCATGTCATACTATGTGGTGACTTCAACTGCAGTCTGGACCCCTCGGTAGACATCAAACGTAGCCTAGACAAACGCCCGACGACTGTAGCCAGCAAAAACTGTAAAGTACTGTCTGACCTCATCTTCGAATCAGACTTATACGATACATGGCGCAACACGTACCCAACAGGTAGAGACTATACCTACTTCTCCCCGATACATTCGACATACTCACGCATTGACTTAATATTAGCCGACAAACTGACCCTATCTAACATAGCCGCAGTAGACATAGGACTACGGACTTGGTCAGATCACGCACCTGTCACCGCCACCTTTGCCAGTTTATACCCGGTCAGAGGAAGGGGCAAATGGAGGCTTAACGAGGGCCTACTGGATACCCCCGTCACCTTACAAACAGTTTGCAAGGCGGCATCCCTTTACTTTAAGGAAAATACGACTGAGAACATCTCTATACAATCCCTTTGGGCAGCTCACAAATCTGTCGTCAGAGGAACCTTGATACAAATAGGCTCACGCACTAAAAGGAAATATAACGAGGAGGTTTTAAGGTTGACCCGCGATTTGGCCAAAGCAGAAGAGGGGAACAAACAAAGGCCCTCCGCTAAATCAGCCAAAACAATAGCCCGCCTGCAATCAGAACTAAATGTCCTCTCCCTACAAGCTATAGAAAGGAAAATGAGAACGCTTAAATCTACATACTACATACAAGGGAACAAAGCAGGCAAACTTCTGGCCAATAAATTAAAGTCTCAACGACTTCAGTCGAAGATTCCTTACATTGAATCTCAACACAACATCAAAATATATAATCCCACAGATATAGTAAACTCGTTAGCCAATTACTATACTAAACTGTACAACCTAAAAGACGACCCCGCAGTGGCCCAACCCACGCCTGAAGCTATAGACAAGTTTCTCCACGATAGCGAGCTCCCACAATTATCGCTAACTCAAAGGAATGCCCTAGACAGCCCATTCACGGAAGAAGAGGTTTCCAAAGCTATCGCGTCCCTCCCGAAACACAAGGCTCCGGGTCCTGATGGCTTCTCTAATTACTACTATATTAAGCTAGAACAGATCTTGACACCTATCCTAACATTACTATTTAATGACATTAAAACAAAGGGTGCCATGCCAAAGGAAATGTTAGAAGCACATATTGTCACTCTTCCCAAACCGGGTAAACCGCCCACTAAATGTGAGAATCTGAGACCAATCTCACTCCTTAACGCAGATGTCAAACTCTTCGCCAAACTCCTGGCCTTACGGGTCAAACCCCTTCTCACGGAATTGGTATCCGTAGAACAAGCGGGTTTTGTCCCGGGTAGGCAAGCCGGAGACAACACGCGACACTGCCTGAACTTGATCAGCTGGACGAGATCCAGCAACCAAAAGGGAGTAGTCCTAGGGCTCGACGCCGAAAAGGCATTTGACCGGTTAAATTGGGTCTACCTAAAGGCAACCCTCAACAGGATGGGTTTCCCGTGTTCATTTATGGAGGCCACCATGGCACTATATAGCGCCCCTTCCGCTAGGGTCTTCAACACAGGGTTTCTATCAGAACCGTTCTCAATTAGCAATGGCACTAGGCAGGGGTGCCCACTGTCCCCCCTGTTATTCATCCTTTGCTTGGAGCCTCTCATCCGTCACATCAAACGACACACCGAGATACAGGGTCTTAACACACCAGCAGGCATACAAAAACTGACTTTATTCGCAGATGATATTCTGCTATTCCTCACACAACCTGCACAATCCATACCAACATTACTGTCTCTACTAACACAGTACAGTCAGGTCTCATACTATAAAAACAACTCCAACAAAACCCAGGTGCTCCCAATGGGACTATCGGCCTCACTAATAAATAAGCTGAAAGCAGCATATCCCTTTGACTGGAGAAATTCGTCCCTGAAGTACCTGGGGATTAACCTGACAGTCTCCCCTGCTGGGCTCACGCGGGAAAACCATTTACCACTACTGACCAAGCTTCAAACACAGCTGGACAAATGGAATGCACTGGAGGTCTCATGGATGGGTAGGGTGCAGACCATCAAAATGATGGTACTGCCGCACATTCTGTATCTCTTCCGCACACTCCCTATTGCGCTTCCTGATACGCTCCTCAAGAAATTCCAATCCGTTCTAAACTCCCACATCTGGAAGAAAAAACCCCCGAGAATAGCTCGTAGACTCACGTGGCTCCCCCCTAATAAAGGAGGCCTAGGCTTACCTGATATAAAAACATACTACAAAGCATCTGTACTAGCCCAGGGTCTGGAAGTCCTTACCCGCCCCAACCCCCCAGTATGGCTTCCCCTAGAAAATGCAACCCTTCACCCAGATACGATCCCACACCATCTATGGAACGTACTTGGTCACCCAAATCCTTCCTTGGTAGGTCTGCCCAACACTAAATTTCTGCTGTCCGGATGGAGCAGATGGGCGAAAGACTTGATGGGGCAAGCTCACCCACTCCTCTTCGCCCCCTTGTCCCGATTGAACTTCCTGACCAGCGATCTCCCACTGAAAGTCTGGATAGATAAAGGGATCACCTCGGTGGGCTCATTATTGGCACCACAGGGCATTAAACAATTCCCCGAGCTGCAAACAGAATACGCTCTGCCGTCTAGGGAAATATTTACATACTTACGCATCAAGCATATTCTTACCACTACAAAGATACGGCACTGCGAGGCGGATCACTTAACGACCTTTGGCAGGAACTGCCTCTCCCGACAGCAGGCTACCAAACCCCTATCTCTGTGCTACAACGCACTAAACGATGCGGACAGTTGTTTAAAACACCCGTATTTGCTTCAGTGGGAAACTGACTTGACAGCCCAATTTCCCCTCCCTATGTGGCTACAGTTTATCCAAATCACTCGAGCGGCATCTCACAGTCTATCCCACTGGGAGTCCTACTGTAAGCTACTGATGAGATGGTACCTGGTACCCTTGCGCCTAGCCCAGATGTATCATTCAACGTCACCGACTGTAATGATATTGATGTTACAAAGTTTTGGAGTCCAGTAGCCAGATCAGCAATGTTTTCTGCCAGAGGTAGCCACTCGTTACCCAGGTGGTTGAGCCCCTGAGCCTTGAGTGGCCTTCTGGTCTTAAGCAGAGATGGGAGACTGGAACAGAAAGATGATAATCATAGTGAGGCAAGCCAAGGTCAGTGGGAAGGAGAAGCAGCAAAGTCAAAACAGTCCAAATTCAGCAACAGGAAGGAGAAACAGGAACACGCTCGATTAGAGAGTACAGGAACCACAATAATCTGGCAAAGGTACAGAGACAGGAAGTGGCTTTTATAGGCCAAGAACCAGACACCTGACTAGACACAGCTGAAGTGAGTTGTCACTGATAACCTTGACTCTACAAGCAATGGTATCAGATCTCAAGTAAATTTGCAAAAGGCAGGCTGGTGTACTGGTAAGGAAGAGGTTTAGCACCATGTAAACCAGGGTTCGAAACCCAGCAGAGTCAGTTCCTCACATTACCTCCACCTCTACAGGCGCAGCCTCTGGATGCCCTATTTCCTGGTTTAGCAGGGTACTGTGCATGGAAAGACTGAAGAAGATCAGGAGCAGGAATATTGTCCACTGGTTCCCACGATCTATCCTCCTCACCATAGCCTTTCCAATGAACCAAGTATTGAAGCTTGTTGCGGAAGATCCTGGAGTCAAGAATTTTTTTCCACCTCGTATTCATCTTCACCATCCACGAGGACTGGTGGTGGGGCAGGCAAGGCTCGACCAGGGAAAGTATTTTCATGAAAAGGTTTAAGCAGTGCCACGTGAAACACCGGATGTATTTTCATGGAATCCGGAAGTTGCAGACGAAGGTGACTGCATTGATCTGAGCGATTATCTTAAAAGGTCCCATGAACTTTTGACCCAATTTATGAGAAGGAATCCTAAGCTTAAGATTCTTTGTTGACAGCCAAACCTTGTCACCAACATGATAAACTGGGGCCTCCTTTCTGTGCCTATCAGCAGCTCTTTTGTAACATTCCTGAGCCTCCGAAAGAGTCTCCTTCAACAGTTCTTGGGAATCTCTTAAGGCGGTTAGCCGGTCAGTGACTGCAGGAATGGGAGTAGTAATTGGGAGACTCACTAGAAAGGTTGGATGGTAACCATAATTGGCAAAAAATGGGCTCAGAGAAGTGGAGCAGTGTTGGGCATTGTTATAGGCAAACTCCGCCGTAGGTAGAAAATCCAGCCAGTCATCCTGCAGGTAACTAATATAGCACCGCAAATATTGTTCTAAAGTCTGGTTGGTTCGCTCAG